TTGCATTTAATAGAAAAAACGACAATGGTAAAATACAAGTCTTAATCAAATACAGAAGCACAAAAACACAATATAATAAAAATAACACAATATAAAACTACAATATAAAATCTAACTACAAAATTGGGAAGGGGCTCCTTCAGTCACACTACAGAGGTCAAGGCCATGACCCACCCGCAAGGTAGGTCGAGGTCTTGACCTTGATGGGTCAAGGTGATCCTGCTGCGAAGCCAAGATAGATGGGAGGTAACCAAGAAGATGGCCGCCGAGCCCTGAAATGGGGGTAGGATGAAGTCCAAGAGCCCAAACCGAGAGAGGCATAAAGTTGTGACTGAAGGGACCCCCATGAAGAAGGTGAGAAGAAAGGCTTGGCCCAGAAGACATAGCAATATGTCGGCCTGGGGGAGTGGGAGCTCGGCCCAGAGGAAATAGTGATATGTCGGCCTGGGGGAGCGGGAACTGGAGGTCAGGTGTCCGTCGATCCAGGTGGAAAAGCGAGAAAGAAAAAGGAGAACAGCGCCCGACCCAGAGGACATAATGTCAGCCTGGGGGGGGGGGGGTGGTAGCTGGAGGACAGGCATCTGCCGGCCCAGGTGAAAAAGCAGGTGCTGATGCTGCTCGGCCCAGAGGATGCAACTGGTACATCGGCCTGGGGGAGCAGACATGCAGAAATAAAATAAGTAAACAGCAAAGCATAGGCAAAATGAATTGTGCACATGATGCAAAAAGGAAATCGAAAAGCTAAACGCTAAATGCACGCAGCAGAATGCCAGGTTTGACGCAGGTGATAGCATCGTTCGAAAAATCAGACAGAAGCATGTGTCTTAGAAGCTGACTGGAGCAACTGTTCCGGTGTTCTGATGTATGTGCGATAGCAGTTGTTTGACCATCTGCCCATTGTTTGAATAAGGTGGTATGGAAGATGCACACTCACTGCAGTAGTGGCCGCTCCAATGCGAAAAGAGTGTCCCGCGAAGAGGTGAGCTTTGAAGCCAAGTCTAGTGAGAAGAAACCGAAGCGAGTTGGTGAAGTGGGCACGATTGAGTGGTATTCTTTCAGGAAGCATGAATAGTGGTTCGTGTGGTGCTGCCCCCATCTTGTGGCGAACTAAAAGGAAGCGATGTAGGGACGAAACTGGACAAAAGGCAGAGCCAGTTGGATAGAGTCTAAGTTCAAATCCACGTCGGAACTGGTCAGTTTTTGATGATTTAATGGTCACAACCAGGGCATCAACTGAGTGTGTGTTACCTAGCGTCATAATGTCCTTAACGCAGAGACCGACTTGTGGGTTGAAAGACTGTGATAACGAGGTAAATTCGCTACATCGTAGGAATTCGAAAAATGCCAACAGAAAAGCAGCTTCCAACAATAGGTCAAAGTAAGGCCCATATACGCCTGAACGGAGTAGCAAACACAGGCGTTTTAACAGGTCAAAGGTGATTGGCAGCCTTGGGCGTGTAGCAGAGCCTTGCACACAGCGAATACCTCGCAGTACGTATTGGAGGCGAAGTAAATTCAAACCATGGCTAGTAACAAGCGGATTTAAGTGACCGCCAAGTAGTGATGATTGCGTATTCCTGCAAGGTAAACCTTGATGGTGCTGAATTTTA